TTACATAAATATATAATATGATCAGTCAAATGAAAACCATATTATGAAAAAAACTTAAATAAATAACTAAAGCACCTCCAGATCAATGAAAATCATCAAAAATGAAGGATCTCCACATATTTCAACCCACAAAAGAGTTGAAATTTTTAATTTAAGCTTTCATGATGTATTCTTAGAAAATAGACTAATCTTTAATGAAATTCATTCCTTCAATGATGTAGCTACAATGAATTTCAATGATTCCATGACTAAATATATAGACTCAAAGAATTCTAGGGAAATTATATCTTTAATGAAATCCTTGGCAAGTACGCGAAACCCACATCACGAAACAAAAGAATTTTGGGGAACGAACGCACTTTAATACATGAGAGAATGTTGTTTAGAAATTGTAAAATTTTTAAAATCCTATCAAATCAACAGTGCACATTTAAGAAAACGATGTATACATATCAAATCAACAACGCTCATTGAAGAAAGCACAGTAGAAGATATCCCATCAACAGATGTCTAGGTTCCTCTGTTTTGTATTATTTGGAATTGTATGCATAATACATAATATTTTGTTTAACTTAATTATACTCACCACACATTTTTTGTTTAAAAGAATACATTTATATCTCATACAGGAGTTGTCAGTGTAATATATGTATAAAATTATGAGTGGTTCATATAAGAGGGAGTGGTGGTTCGTGTAAGGACAAAAAAAGGATGGATGATTTGTGTAATTTCACTAAAACTCAGGGGATGTCAATGTAATTAACTCATTCATCTATCCATATTTTTGTATATTTTAATAACTTACTAGTAAAATGTAACTAAATATTAATATCATATAAATTTAAATTATTTAGCTATCCATATCAAAAGTAATATTTTATTATATTAATGTAAAAATCTAGAGAGTACATGAATATATTAATGAAGAAAAATTTCTCAAGGGTGATACAATCATGTGGAAACCAACAAATCAGGTGAAAACCAACCAACAAGGTAATATTTAATTTATCTACTTTTATTCTTGGTAATATTTGACTGAATACTAAATGATATTTACTATTATTATCACATTATTATTAATTTAATACATCCTTGGTAATATTTGCTCTTCTTTTTACTAAAGGTGAATATGCAGGTCCATGTTGTGGTTATGAAACTGCATCCCAAGGATTTTGATAGAACATAAGGTTTTAGGGATCCTCCTAGGAGACTTAATGGGATTGAAGTTTTAAGGAATTAGATAAAATTGAAGATGAAGGTCTAGTGAATAGGGAACATCCTTGAAAAAAGAAGAGCATTTTTTCACTTTACCTTATTGGCAGTATAATATATTGTGTCACAACGGTGTTATAAATTGCGGGCCGCATTACTTGATGGGCCGCAATATTGTGGTTGCGGTAACCACCGCAACCGTATCACACCGCAATTGCGGTGTGATTTCAAATCATAATAATGTGACCGTATCGGACCACAACGCAACCGCATCAGACCACATTTAGATTGCATCAGCCACAATCCACGTCGCAACAGCTGTAATTACTGCAATCGCAGTAACTACAACCGTTACGGCAATCGCGACCACAACCGCAATTTAAAACACTCTGTCACAATAATGATGCAATGCACATTGAGAAAAATGTATGTGATAACTTCTCCCATACATTCTTAAACCAAGAGGGAGATTCAAAAGACAACTATAAGACCCGACTCAAGCCCTACAAGTAGCAGTCAGAAAATAAAGGGATTTGTTGTTATCTAATGAATTGGATAATTCATTGTAACAAACATATATATTGTTATGTTATCTGATAGGTAAGTTATCAAAATTAACTATGTTGTATGCTAGCAATAGAACAACTGGTTTATAGGAAATAAGTTCTCTATTTGTATTTAAATTCTATGTACTATGATCAATGAAAAGTATCCAGATATATCTTCTATTTTTTCTATATGTAGCAAATGGTTTTCCCTATAGCATGTTATCAAATGACTACAAAATAAAAGGGTTATTTTTTTAAAGTACTATGATAGTAATGATTTACTGCTGAGGTTTTTATACTAATCATTTTTTGCATTCAATGTAGAAAATAAGTGGATTTGTAAACAAAATCGTGCTAAATATGAAGGTATTCATTGTATGGGGACAAAAAATCTTCCAAAACTGATTGCTGAAAAGGTCTTTTTATATTATCAATGGTTATTAAGTAAGTTTTATAAAAAAAATGTGTATAAATTGATACTTGAACTCATATAGATAGGATAATTGTTAATGAAAAGACTTCAAGAGTGATTTATGGTTTCTTTTCTTTTCCAATTGTTTATGCTACGTTATGGAATTAAATTCTTATTGATATATATTTATTATTCTTTGTCCGAAATCAAGAGTTATGCAATAGACTTAAGAATATGGAAAGTATGATGACAAATATGATATCATTAATTCAAAGTTGGTTTTCTGGAGAAGATATTGATTACATCATAAAAGTTGCAAAACAAGTTTAGCATATCCCAAAATTTATTTTTCAAAGTTCATATATTTTTATGAGTTGTGAGTTTTAATATTCAATGTTCATGTTGTGACTTGTGTGAAGTGATTGGTATTATTTAGTAGCTCTACTAGAGCCAATTCTCAACCCATATTTTTTGTAAAGTATTGGTCTGGTATAGTTCAATTCTTTCCATTCAAGTATGTTTTATGTCTGTTATTGTTATTTACAATCCAAGTATGTTTTCAGTTCATTAATCATAAATAATTTTGTTATTTACAATTCGAGTATGTTTTCTGCTTTATTTGTACTATTAGTACCCATTTACTATATCTAGTATAATTTTTATGCATA